AAAGGGTGCTCGGTAGACCGAAATGCCCGTAACCTCGGGGTCCGGATAACCGAGAGGTACCGGTATGTGTGTAGTGTATGCAACATTTCAAAACACAGATATAGACCACTGATATACTGTTAGACACACACCACAGTAAAATCTGTCAAGGTAACCACTCTGATAAGGCGACCGACTGAATTTACTGTCCTACAAGACCACTGCAACCAGAACCAAGGCATGTTATTTCCAGTCAAAAGACCCTGGATAAGGTGACCACACGTGCAAGGAGGTCGCCTTTGACGGGTTATACTGTCGACTGTCTACTGCCAGACATAGCCTCGGAACACTATGTAAAAGCAATGACATATTGGGCAGGAATGGAATTGCAAAACGTGGATACAAACATTGGACGCAATCCTGCTAACCAACCTGGCTGATGGCTTTTCCTTCTTCTCTTTCCGTTCCTTCTTTTCTTTCGGTTCCTTCTTTTCTTTCTTTTCTGCTTTTTCTACCTTCTCCTTTGGCTGCTTCGGCTTGCTTGGTGCCTGGAACAAACGATGGCACGAATAGCATGACATGTACCCAGGTAAGCGAAAAAAGATTGCCATTGAATAAGAACCACACACCACGCACACACCATGCACACACCATGCACACACACACACACACACACACACACACACACACACACACACACACACACACACACACACACACACACACACACACACACACACAAACGCGCACACACACACACCTTGACCTTGACCTTGATCTTGCCCATTGCGTACGCATGATAGCGAATGTCGGAAAGTTCAAGTGAGAACACGAGTGCAGAACTTGGCATGTCGTTTCAGGTCTCCTGGTCGACGAAATGGGCGTCCACAGACACATAGAAGAGGATCAGGAGCGGGCCGTGGCGGTGGGGTGCTACTCGCAACTCGTCCCCAGCCGGGACGATCATGGCAACTCTCAAGCCAGGTGGTCACGCCGAGGTCCGCCAGGTCAGTCGATACCACATCTCGCCACCTCTTCTTCGGGCCGTGACGAGGACGGGGGGCAGGCAGCTCGCCGAACAGCAATTGCTTCGGTGCGCGTGAGTCGTCCATCCTGCCGACGTGACCCAGCCAACGAAGCCGGTGGCGGCGGATGATGCGGGTGATATCAGGGTCAACACCGAATGTAGCTGCTAATGTGGCCGTTGAGATCCGATCATCCCACTGTTGACGACGACCGATACCCACAATGGACCGAACACACTGATGGTGAAACACACACACACACACACACATACACACACACACACACACACCATGCACACACCATGCACACACACACACACACACACACACACACACACACACACACACACACACACACACACACACACACAAACACACACACACACACACAGGTATTCACTGTAACAGCTCTCCTATGTCACCTACCTTCTTCCTCTTCTTGCTCTCATCCACAGCCGGGACTGTCTTGGCTGCATTCTCCTCATCACTCGACAACACAGCATCAGAATCAAACCTATACAGGCAACAACCGCACAAACAAACCACACGGCAACGACGTAAAAGAAAGCTAAGTCCAGTTCAATAGATCAGGTAAGAACGTGCCCAACTGCTCACTGTGATCAAACATGAGCAATGTGCTGCTACTACAGCCATCCACGGGCAGCATGCAGTAACAGTTAAGAAGACACTCAGTGATGCCACTGCACTGCACGCCAAGACAATAGCTTCTGTCATACATGATAACTAACTACTGTCAGGGTTTGCGCCGGAGTCAGTCAGCCTGTGGCGTCAATTTTGTGATTAGGTAGACACTTGGTGAATGTACTTCAGGGATCGATTTACTTTGATTTTTTTCCATAGCAGTCACACAGCCCACAGAATTTTCGACGAACGACTGTTCGTCGAATCCTGTTCGTCCCCAAGGCATTTCGTTGACTGGCCCATTAGGTGACTGTCCTTTTCGACGTGTGAACGTCTCGCAGAGTGACAGGTTAGACGAAAGGTATTTTCATAGACAACCTTTGTCGAGGTGTGGGATTTTCGTCGAATGACACGAAATCGACCTCTAATTATACCTAACAAAACCAAACGAAGGGGAAGGGAAATGTGCAAATGCAAGGCGAACATGGGCGAGGACACAAACAAGTGAAGGGAGCGAAAGCTTTCCATGGCGTGAGCGTGGTGGTGCAATTCTAACAGATGGATCAAAACAAAAACTTTATTACATATAGGTGTGCCCTCCAAACAATCAACCATATAAGGCATATCTGTTGATGTTCTTCAAGCAACTACGAGAACTGATGATGGAAGTGGATCTCAAGACGACCACCAAGCGTGGAAAAGAAAAGCTCATTCACCGCGGGTATGGCTACGTTGTGGACAAGGTTGGAAAGGATGGAGTAGTTTACTGGAAGTGCGAGGAGAAGGATGCCTTGAGCTGCAAGGGAAGAATGAGGACAAGGCACGGGCTGGTGACGGCGGTAACTGGCAACCACACTCATGCTCCGGATGCCATGCGTGGGGACGTAGCCAAAGTACGGGACCAAGTATCCTCGCGGGCTGCCACATCGCAAGAGTCCACGCATCAAATTGTCACGGCCGCTGTAAACTCTGCTTCACCTGCTACGGTTGGGTGTCTGCCATCCGAAAGTGTTCTGAAAAGGACCGCTCAACGCATGAGAGTCTGAGCAGGCAATGCTCCCCCAAATCCGACTTCACTAACGGAGCTCGTCATCCCTCAAGAGTACACCACCACGGCGAACGGTGACGACTTTTTGTTGCACGACAGTGGTGCTGCGTCCGGGATCACCGCATCCTGGTGTACGCTACCAAGGAAGGCCTGGACATATTAGAGAAGTGGGACGCGTGGTACGTGGACGGCACATTCAAGACTGTTCCGAGGCTGTTTCTCCAACTATACACTGTCCATGGCTTGCATCAGGGTACCAACATCCCTCGCGTGTATGCCTTGCTTCCAAGCAAGACTCAACTGTGCTACGAGAGATATTTGTCGGCTTTGTTGGACAGCAGGCCAGATCTCAATCCCAGCACGGTGATGTTGGACTTCGAGTTAGGCATGATTAATGCCATCAAGTCCAAATTTCCTGACGCCGAGTGCACTGGATGTTTCTTTCACCTTTCGCAGAACGTGTACCGACATATCCAGCGCAATGCAGAGATGCTGGAGCTCTACACCACGAACGCGGAGTTCGCTCTTGCATGCAAAATGATTCCGGCGCTCGCCTTTATGCCAACAGGAGATGTATTTCTTTTTTTCTTTTCCATCGGAAGCCTCAACAGTGATGAACACATCTCTTAAGAGGGCCGATAACAGAGTAGAGGGGTGTGGGGCGAGAAAAATAATAAGGCCACCCAGAATAAATTTGCTGTTTCGGGTCACCCGACCGACCGTCTTTTTTCACCCGACCGCAAAATGTTTTTTTTATTGTGTATGCAAATGTACGTACATGACTAGGCTAGCTAGTAGTATGTCCTAAAATAATAGCAGTGACTAGTCCAGACGTCGATCACAGAGTCAGAGTCAAAAGCAGCCAAATGACAGGCTGCAGCGCTTGGTGACGACGTTGTATTCTCCGATCCGCGATCGGTCCTGAAACAACATCAGCTCCGCCACCGTGTCGCTCATTGACAGAAGTTTTGGTGAGAGCTGCTCGTCAGACTCCAGGCGCGTGCTCAGCGATGGGCACGGGGGGCACGTGCAACCCCCAAAAAATTTCAATCTGGGTAATTGCAATTGTAATGTATGCAAATATGCTCTAAAATTCAAGAAAGGTTGCAAACAAATTGCAGAAAATTGCCGGGGGGGGGGGGGGGCTCCCCTCGGCTCCCGTGCACCCCCCTACTTGGGGGGCCGAGCACGCCCCTGGACTCGTTTGCTAGCAAGGTCAAGATCTGATCCTGGAGCTAGCTGGGGACCTACAATGTAGATCTGAAGGCGCTGGATCGTCTAGATTTGATCGACTGGCTTGATGGACAAAAGCTATTCGATATTATCAATATTATGTATGCACATGGCCATATATATATGGCGCGCGTGGCAGTAACCAAAATAAAAATATAATAAAATAAAAAATAAACCCGACCGACCGACCCTGGTACGGATGAGTGAAGTGACCCGACACAACGAATTAATTCTAGGTGGCCTAATAAGAAATGTTTAAACTAAACTAAACTGATACTTGGAACAATAAAGCAGCAGTAAGCAGTATACACAGGTATATAATACAAGCGATGCAGATCAATGAGGCCGTTTGCTGAAAAGAAGATCAAAATACTTCTGAAAAGACGCTGCGTCTTTTAGCATGGTCTGAAGGTGCTTAGCAAATGTAGAAGTGCGGTGCTGGGTGCGCCACTCCACAGGCAAAGAATTAAAGAACAGTGCAGCACGATTTGAAAAGGAATTGACACCGTCAGTCGTCCGGAATTTAGATATTGCAATAGCAGCATTAAAAGAGCTTCTTGTTGTCCTAGGGCCGGTTGAAACTTGAGGGAAAAGGTCCGTCAGATTTCGGAGAGGGAAAACGACATGATTAACATGGATTAATTTAGCAATGCTACGAATAAGGTAATGTTCAAACGGATCAATCGACAATCTAGCTAACGGCGGCATGACGTCATCTTGTAGTTTCGAGCCACAAGCAGGGCGTACAGCACGACGATAAACGGACGAGAGTCGCTGTCGGTCCTTGGCGGATAGCTTCATTGCAAAGCAAGAGCAGCAGTATAGTAAGTCAGGCAGGATAACAGAGAGGATAAACTGCCGTGTTGCCTTCAAACTTAGTTGCCGAAAACACTGTCGAAGAGCGCCAACTTTTGTGCAAGTCTTCCTAACGACAAAGTCTATGTGACCAGACCAAGAAACATCACTGTCTACAATGACTCCCAGGATTCTCGTGCTAGACACTTGAGTCAGAGGTTGTTGGTTAAAAATAATTGGATTTGAGAGGGGTTGTGAAGACTTAGAAATCATTAAAG